AAAGCATTCCATTTACACCTCTTCGTTCAGCTTATCTTTCAATTCCATTTGGAGTTCTTTCTCAAAGTGATGATGACCTTGCTGATAATTTTATAGCTCTTACAAAACAAGCATCAGAGTGTATGTATGAAGGTTCTGATAATATCACTCAAATCCAAGTAAATGTCAAAGGGGGGTCTGTTGCTTTCCCTGTGTTCCAAGCATATTGATTGAATTGAATTTTTATGACATTTATTACGTTGAAAATATTAAAACAATTAATTATGACAAAAGATAAAAATTTTTTAAGAAAAGTGAAGAAAAGATAAAAGTAAAGTGGAAATATCTGTCATCTTTTTCTTTCTGTATTTATGAGTTACTTTTTATTGATTTTTTATTCTTTTTCTAAAAAATGTATTGGTTTGTTTTCAAAATATGTCTAAACATATTTCTTTATTTATCTACCATTCTTCTTCTAACATTTCAACGGAGCTTATATTTCTAAAATACAACCACGTAAGAAATGTATTGATCTATATTTCTTAGTTCTCCTTTTTTTCTTTTTCTTTATTTCTTTGACGTGGTGCTGTCTCATTATTCTTCCTTTCTTTTTCCTTCTTTTCATTTTTCTGTGTTTTTCTCATTAAAACTATGACTAATCTCATTCCTTTTATCTTAAATTGATTGACTTTTCTTGATTTTTGTATAACTAATATCTCCAATTCACTTTGTTATATAAACCATTAAAGTTAAAAAAAAGGAGAATTTTTTATTTAGTTCTTTTTAGTTGATTTCTTTTCTTCTTTAGCCCAAACTGGTTTTGGAGCAATAAATGGAATCTTTTCAACACCACCAACATAAGGTCTAAGGACTTCTGGAACAATAATACCATCTTCACATTGATAGTTTTCTAAGATACAACAAAGAGCTCTTTCAGTAGCACATAAAGTAGAATTAAGCATATGGACATAACTTTTAGTTTTGTCTTTCTTGTCAGTTTGTAATCTTACTTCAAGCTCTCTGCTTTGATAGTCAGTACAATTACTGCATGAGACAAGTTCTCTGTATTCATTAAATCCTGGGAAATATCCTTCAAGATCATATTTCTTAGCAGCAGCATTATTAAGAGCTCCTGAGACAATATTAACGACTCTGTAAGGAATCTTAAGTGATTCAAAGAAATCACGTGAATTTTTAATCATTTCTTCATGCATTTCCCAAGATTTATCAGGAAGTGTCATACAAAATTGTTCAATCTTTTCAAATTGATGAACTCTAAAGATACCCCAAGTATCTTTTCCATGAGCTCCAGCCTCTTTTCTAAAGTTAGTAGAGAATCCCATATATCTAATTGGTAATTGTTTTGGAAGAATCCATTCTCCAGCATGAAGTGCAGTTAATGGTTGTTCTGAAGTAGCAATTAAATATTTTTGATCGTCTAATTCAACATCCTTACCAGTTCCAACATGGTATAATGTTTCATCAAAATCTGATAATTGTGCAGTTTTAGCCATTAATTCTCTTCTCATA